TAAATTTGTTTCTTGATTTATTTATTAACATTTTATAATTCTTGGTGAGCTTGGTGATCATGGGCTTCCTGTCAAGAGGCTTTTAAACTCTCTCCTACAGTGTCTTCAGCTCAGTCTTCACCTTCTCTGACAGGTCAACTCCAACTTTCTGACTGTAGTATTTCTCAGCTCTATGGGCACGTTGAACATCTAACTTTAGTGTTGATGGCGCCATCTCGTGGCAGCCAGCCAACAATGCCATTTTGTTTCCATTTTGCAGGAAATGTTCCCAATCAGTATTAAATGGATTTTTTAAAAAGTATTTTTAATTTTTTTTAATGTATTTTAAGTATTCATTTTTAGGCATTAAAAGATGAATAAAAACACATCTGGTCAAAAACGCCTCCAAGATTCCTCGCTGTATTACTGGAGGCTAAGGTCATGAAATCCAGAGTGAGCGTCTGGTTAGATGCCTGGCTTCATGGATAGACAAATAAATAAAAACTAGTTCACAAGCAACCCCAGGTCAAAAATATACATAAGAAATAAACTATACATATAAGTTATTGTATATTTTATATAAATGGTCCGCTGGTTATTTACATGAGCACATAGAGGCATGGACCTCACACCACAAGCTTGCTCCCAACCTATAATGAAATTCTTTATTATTCAAATAGACATAATGTTCAAAGCACCAAAGTTTTAGCTTGCTATTACAACTGTCACGTGATGTTAAACAAAATCTTTAGCTCAGCTCTGCAGAGCAGGTCATCATCATGAAGCAGTCCAGTTCAAGTTTTTAGGATTAAGCTGCTCTTCATAATTTTGACCACCAGATGTCACCAAAGATGACACCGTTAGACTCTCTATGGTGTGAAAACATGTTACTTCCTGAATTCCTGTTTGGGTTTTTTTTTTTTGTTTTTTTTGTATTTTTGTCACACTTACATGTTTCAGATCTTTTTTTTTTTTTTTTTTCCAGAATTCTGAAAAAAAAAGACGTGCCCACTTTTTCTTGTTTTTTCTTTCAGGGACCCTAACCCTCTTCCATACTAAATGTAGGTGTTTATGATTAAGGGGGAAAAAATCCAAACCTACATGGCTGTGTGTGAATAGGTGATTGCCCCCTAAACTTAATAACTGGTCGGGGCACTCTTAGCAGCAACAACTGCAATCAGGCATTTGCGATGACTAGCAATGAGCTTTTTACACCTATGTTGAGGAATTTTGGCCCACACATCTTTGGAGAATTGCTGTAATTCAGCAACATTGGAGGGTTTTCAATATGAACTGCTTTTGAAGTCATGCCACAGCATCTGATTCAGGTACAGGTTAAGACTTTGACTAGGCTGATCCGAAGTCAGCATTTTGTTTTACTTAAGCCATTCGGAGGTGGACGTACTGATGTGTTTTGGATCCTGTTCCTGCTGCTGAACCTAAGTGCGCTTTAGCTTGAGCTCTCAAACAAATGGCTGAACATTGTCATTCAGCATTTTTTAGTAGACGGCAGAGTTCTGATACCATCGGACTACCACCAACATATTTTACTGGAAGGGGACTAAGGTAAGTAAAAGCACTACTAATGTTAAGCCTTAGATTAATTGTATGTTTTACCAGTGGCTGTCAAGCAGTAAGGAAAGCATTTTGAGGAAGCCAGTGTGTTTCAGGCTGATGAAATAGCATTTTTAAAATACCACAGTGATACACTCTCATTAACATCTTCGTGTATTACTAAACCACTTCATTTTTTGTAGAGCGTGTGTCTGTGTAGCAGACAGTGAGCAAGAGTATGTGACAGAGAGGAATACAGAGCAGAGGAAATGAAGGTTACCCTGAGGCTGATGGGAAGGGGAAATGACTTAAATTTGAATTATTAATATTTATTCATGTGCTGTTGAATCATCACAGAGTGGGGCAGAAGAGCTGATTCTTTGTTGTGTGTTTCTACAAGTAATATGTGTCTCTACTGAACTCTTGTACAGTTGTCTGTAAGAAGCCTTTTCTCATTATGTGAATCTGTGTTTCCTGAGTCTACTTCAGGACGTCCTTCTAGTAGAACATGTCTTCCTGTTCCAGCATCACTGCACTCAACATAAATAGCTCACCCAGAGTCCTGATCTCAATCATACAAAGTGATTATGGACTACATTATGTTATATGTTAATATGTCAGAGATTATGGCTGAAATTTGGTTTGGTGTGAGCAACTTCACCTGGTTCAAGAAGATGGAGCTGTGAAAGTATCTGAAGGAGAGATTTACAGCTTCAATGTAACATTATTGTGTGACCACTAATGATCAGGGTCAACAGTAGAGATTGATGTGACTGTTAAAGGTAAAGTTAGTAATAATTATTTTACTGAGTTCAATCTTTTCATGATTTACCTCTTTTCTTGGTAGTATGCCTTGCAAGGTAATGGAGACAGTGTTTTGTCTAAATGTTTATGTTTTAGGAAGTTTTAGGCTCAAACTTCTTTGACCTTTGTTGCATTACAGGTGAACATATTATTATGAGATATTATTTGGTGTCCTTCATATACTCAAGACATTAGTAGTCTTAATGCTTGTGAGCATGTCTTTGAATTGTGAACAAAGGACAAATCTACAGATTAACTTGTCTGTAATAAGTCAAAAAGGAAGTTTTTTTTTTTTCATTTCTGTCAGATGGTTCATCAAAACACTCCAACAAACCAGAGACAGAAAACTGATAGAAGAGTAGAGTCACACCATAACACATCCAGTAAGGACAATGTGCCTTAAAATAGCACTTTATTTACTGCATTTGAACACTTTTAGTACATTCTAATAAAAATAGTAATTTCTTTATTTCATTCAAGGAATATTTAACAGCAGAGGATTTCTTCCAATATTATTGGTCATAACTGAAAATTAGTTTGTCAGCTAAAATTTAATTTAATTTTGAATAAATGTATTAATGTCTCTTGTCTTTTGTTTAAATGTGTTAAATAAACACCAAATATTCAAACAGCAATTTGTCTTCTGGTTCTAATTGTCAAGTAACCTTTGAGTGGAAATGTTTTGAGTGATATTTTGTGTTGACTCAGTATATAGCTGTGCTTTGTAATGAGGGCAGAAATGTATGTTTTGCTTGCTGCTTTTAATATAGATGAAGTTAAAAATGATGGTGAAACAGAGCAGGTTGAGTTTGTCAGAAAATAATATCATGAGCAGAAGAAGAAATAAATTAAGCTCAACCTCAGTATCACTCTCAACCGAGATTCCTCCTGCAACAGTTTAGCCTATCAAATCTAACTGTCAGGTACTAACCACATCTATGTGACTGCTTAGCAGCTGAACCCTTTGTCTTTAGCCATGCATTTAGAAAAATAATCTAAACATGAGAGAAAAAGAAAACAAACCTCGCAGCTTGTTTCTTGAGTCAGTGCTCAAACACTTTCGATGAACAGTTCTCAAAACAACCAGCAGCACACTCGTCTGTGCTGTAGAAAAAGAAGTGCTTGTACAGCAATTGAAGAGAGGAGAGATAGATATCACGTGTTGCTGCTCCACACACATGACCAGGGACATTTACCAGAATGAACGATCTTCTATGATCTCATCTCAAAGCTGAAAGATTTTCATTAGTATTTCCTACTTTGATTATCAAACATAAGCCAACTTCCAAATTTGGACTGCAGTAGCGGGTTGCCTTCCTAAATATTATTACGGGATGTATTGAGTTCAGTGCTGCATTGAAGAGCCTGATATCCACTTACGAGGACATTATACTGCTACTGTTCTATCGAAATTTTAAACTAATATCCTCATATGTTGCTCTCATTTTTCTTAGAAACAAAAATCAGGTAAAAAAAAAAAACCCAAAATCAGGTAATTCTTTGTTTTTACATTCATCGGGTCCCAATATGCCCAAATATCAAAGAGAAATTAAAAATGCATGCTGTGGAAGAGTTCGGGTCTTAGGAGGTTAATGTTATTATTAGTGCTTGTAGAATTACCCTCTGAGGATGTACAATGCTTTCATGATTAAACCATGGTGCACATAGGAAAGTAAAATAGTAATGGCCTAAAGTGTGATACATCAGAGCCACAGTGTTACAGACAAATAATCCTGGTGGGGATGCTTCATGATCAGAGTGCCCTGGCTTGTGTTAGCCAGCAGCTTCCCAATCGGGGCAAGCTTCCAGTAACAGTCCCCAGCTTAAACAATCAATGCTACACAAGACTACCTAACTCAAAAATATGAGTGTCTGTGTCAGATGTTGGGGTACCAGAACACTTATGAGGAGTGGGAAGGAAGAAAATACACACACAAGGTCAAGGAAAAATAACTTAGGGTTCCAGTGGGCCCTTTGAGCCTTTCAGTGTTAACATTTGGATGTTAAACTTCATACTTTCTGTCTGTGTGTTGTGCACTTACTGTTAGCGTGTAGTTTCTCATGTTTAGTGTCTAATTGTGGCACTGAAAGAGCCACTCGTGAAATAAATAAAAAAGTTAAATAAATTCCAGTATCTGCATTTGGTTGAATGTCTCGACTGAAGCACAAAGCAAAGGAAGAAATATTTTCTACACTGAGGAAATTGGTCAACAGGTTTCTACAACCTGTGTGTGTACAAAGCTGTAGACATACAGCTTTCTGCAACACAATTTCTTCATTTGGCCTCTTTATTACTTCTTTTTGTGTAATGTTTGCTTTAAGATTGTTTTCTCTTAAGCATCTAAAATTGATTTATGTCAAAGTAACACACACATGGATGCACGGACCCAGCAGCACATTGCACTATGAGATCAGTGATCAGTGTTATTTACTTCACGCATCTATGGTTTTAATCCTGTGTCTACATGAGATATTGATAAACTCAGGTAAACTATAAATTAATCACAAACACAGTTAAAATCAGAACATCTAAGGGCAGACAGATGAGGAGTACAGCATCTGAAAAACTGGAGTGCATGATGGGAACATCAGACGTCTGTTTGCTTTGACATTACAACATCCAAACAGAGAAGTGTTTCACTCACTTTGCTTCTGCTGAAATCACACGTTGACTTTTATTTTGTCGTCTCTCTGCTGAAGCAGTCTGATCATTTGGTAAGAAAACACATTTGCAGTTTTGTTTGTTTATATCAGACTGTGATATTGTGTTTCTATTTTTAATAACAAATTACTTTTTTAAAGAATTTACATGTTCCTTATTCATCACTGGATTCATGTATTTTTTCATATTTTTCCAGGTGATGAGTTTTGTGACAGTCCAGTCTGTGAACATCATGACAGGCATCATGTTACTGAGTCTCCTCTTTATTCCAAGTGAGTCGACTCATTTCAGTCATTTACATTCAGTTAACTTTATATTGAAGATGTTGAGAGGACAGGAGAAAAAAATTGAGAGATTTCAACATTTTAATGATATACTCTGTTTGTTTGTTTTTTCCAGAGCCTTCGACTGCTTGTCCTGAGTATTCAGACCTCTTCATCACTGCACCAACAGAGATGGAAGCTCTGAGTGGATCATGTTTACAAATCCCATGTAGCTTTAGTGCTGCTGGACCAGTAAAGTTTGACATCAGAAGAGCTGTCTTTGGAGTGTGGATTAAAAATCACTCCAATGTTAATAAATTTCCAAACAATGAGATCTTCAACAGCAGTGGGACAGTTAACATCTATCCAATGAAGATTACAGGAAACCTGAAGGAGAAAAACTGCACCACTTTGTTTTCCAACTTAACCACAACTTATACAAACACATACTACTTCAGAATTATGAACTGGCCGTTCAGAGCAACAGCTGTTTGTGAACCTCTTAAAATAAAAATTAAAGGTAAGATACATTTCTTTTCATCAGTCGATGCAATTTTTATTGAAACAAAAATATAAAGTTAAATGCAGCCTTGTTTTAAACAACAAAAAACAAATCCAACACAACAAAGTCCAATATAACAAAAATATGTTTCTGTAATTGTTTTGTATTTAGATGCTTTTTTGTGTTCTTTATTGTGAACAATAAAAGGATTTAGTCAAAAATAAAAAAGGTTTTCATTTCAGCATAAATGTTGTTTAGTAAAGTTTATAAACACATACGAAACACAACCTGACTGCACAATGTTAACATACATAGACATATGGACTATAGTCTGTATTATGCAAATACCAAGACTCCATCAAAACTGCAAGAAACAGAAAGAGAAAAATAAACCCTAAAAGACATGAAACTGTGCAAAAAAGTAAATAAGTAATTAACAATATTTAGAGGATAGATGACATAAACATATTGTAAAAAAAAAATTAATAAAATATATTCCCTGAATGCAGCAAAAGTCCCACATTACTCTCTGTGTCTTGACTGTATTTCCTGTATTATCACAACACTAATCCAGAGCTCAAACATGTCTGCTACTTTCTGCAAATAATATAACCTGAATACATTTTACATTTGTTCTCGATTGTACAGTAGAAACATGTATGGGGACTTTCAAACACCTACACTGAGCTCTGTCTGTATTTGCTGTATTTCTCTATTATCGATTTACAAATACGTTTGTGATGTGAAACCACAGATTCTCCTTGGAGGCCCGATATTACAATCCCAGGTGATCTGAAGGAGAAGGAGTCTGTCACTATAACCTGCTCAGCTCTCACTCCCTGTCCACACTCCCCTCCTCAACTCACCTGGAATCTCCAACAAGACTCTCACAGCAAAATAGAGGAAAACACAGATGGAAGCTTTACAACTAAAATCCAGCAGAACATCACTCTGTCAGACACACATGATGGAAAGAAGATCAGCTGCTCTGCCAGATATCCTGTGAACCAAGGAAAAGACACCAAGACAGCAGAGACAGAAGAGACTCTCAGTGTTTCATGTAAGACAATCAGAGTTTGTTGTTGGACTTTGTCAACATATCATCATTTATGGGACTTTATCTTTTCCTCCAGATGCTCCTAAAAACACCTCAGCATCCATCAATCCATCAGGTTTGGTGTCAGCAGGCAGCTGGGTGAAGCTGACCTGCTCCAGCAGAGCCAAACCTCCAGTCAGCAATTTCACCTGGTTCAAGAAGAGCAGAGATGGAGCTGTGAAAGTATCTGAAGGAGAGATTTACAGCTTCAATGTACCAGATGGAGGAGTTTATTACTGTGTGGCCACTAATGATCTGGGTAATCAAACATCAGCAGAGATTAACGTGACTGTTGCAGGTAAAGTTAAACTACACCATATGGCAAATTAAATAACATCTTTTTTTGGGAACATTATTTTTTTCATATTTTTCTATCAGGACATCAGAATAATGGTTCTTTACCACTGGGTCCACTTCTTGGAGGCATCCTTGGGTTGGTCTTACTGATCTGTTTAATTATCTTTGCTTTGTAAGTATCTCACATCAAAACAGAAATCATGTTCAGCTACTGTCACGGATATTTTAGCTACATATTAAAAATGTCCTTTTCCTTTCAGGCTTAACTTTACTCACAAAAATATTTAACAACTAAGTGACTATAGTGGATGTGTCTACCTTTTACAGCAGAGCTCTCAGGTTGTTAAAGTACCAAACTCAGCAAGAGACTCAGGTAGGAAAATACGAAGTTTTAGTTTGTTCAGATGATTACTAATTTCATCAGGGCAATATGTTCACTTTAAATTGTCTGAAAATAGCAATAAGAATAGTTTGAAATGCAGCCACAAACCCTCCTGGTTTATTTCATAGAGTCAAAGAAGTGAAGAGCTGGTTGTTGAAGAGCCGACAAGTAAAACAGAAGGAGGGGAAGGAAACATCCATTATGGAGAGATCAACTTCTCTGAGCCTGGATATGAAGCATCCTTTGTCTCAGTGCAGGACAGAGGACAGCAGCAGGATACGGTGTACGCACAGGTGAAAGTCAACAAGCCAGAAAACAGCTTAACACAGAGAGCTCATGGCCAAGAGGAACTCTACGCTGAGGTCCGAATAAGTGAGAACAGCTGTGTTAAGACATTACATTACCAAAGTCCATTAACAAAGAAACACAGAAATCAATGAAGTTAACCCAGCAAACCACTTCCTGCATATTTTTTTTGGGGGGGGGGGGGGGGGGGGTTCTGCTTTCCCTTTAAACTTCATTTAGATGCTTGCATATCTGTCTCACTAGTGGAATAAGATTTCTGGAAACATCACTGGATCAGAAACATCACCAACATGATGTTGAGAGTTCACCTGTGAAGTGATAATCTGACCAGCTCTCGTTAAAGTGGCCAGTCAGATACTTCCAGATCACCTCACTTCATTACGAATCTCCCTCTAATCAAATATGACTGTTTGACTACGCCCAACGTTTCATGGAACAGAGAAAGTTTCTGGTGGATTTTAATCCAACACATATTGCTTCAAGCTCTGTTGTAAAGCTTACAAAACAATATTGCAATTCATACAGTGTCTCCCTAATCTCTGGCTGCAACATCTAAAAGGAAGGAAAACTCCACATGAAAATAGAACTTGATTTACAAAAAACTCTTAAGAATTAGAGAGTGTAAACTTCAAATATTTGCAGATTTTGTTTTAGTCTGATGTTCAGCCCTTATTTATGAGCATATACCACTGCCCAGACCACAAAGCACTGAACCCTACAAATACTCCTCCGAGTGATATGATCCAGACAGCACATAAAGTGGCCTTTCTGGCCTTGAGCACACCACAAATGTTAAAACAAGTCAATATTGACCCAGCAGTTCAGTTTCTGCTGCAAAGTTACAGTACATTGATCACATTGAAGAGCAAATGCCATTACTTTTCTGTAAATCAGACTACATTCGTATCTTATCTTTAAATGTATGAGCTGCATGTCTAACCAGCATATCCCTAAATCCGTATGGCATAATATAAAAACCACTGCGAGACACAGCATAAACTACTGTAAGCTTTCTGATTTGGATGTTCTAATAAGGCTCTTATTAGTGCCTGTTTGTTCCTCCAAGTATTGTTGTGGATGCTTTGTCTGATGATGAGCTCAGTGAAATGTGTTCTTGTTTTTTCATGTTAGTGTGGAGTGATGGAACACTAAAATTCAAATGGTGATTTAGAGTTTTGTCTTTTGGTGTTGAGTGAAATTTAACCAATAATGTGTCTGTTGTTAAGATCTCCTGTGATGCCACTTTTTGGATTTGAGTGCTGTTTTCAGGCTCTGCTTCACTTCTTTCTTCATCCTTTGAGGAGAACCCACGAAACTGAAATCAATTATAGTCATATTTCAGAGTGATGGTGTTAAATAAATGGTATTTAAATGAGTTATTTTTGGTCAGATTCTTATGAACTCTGGACAACTTTGGGTGAATCAGTTCTATCATCTACTGACTTCAAGAATGTGAATGAGACACGGCAAGTCCACGGCTCAAGGTTTTGAGCCATTTTATTTATCACAGCTGCAGCTCACCAGCTACCAGCCGCAAGTACTTCACACCACAACAACAGCTCTCTACTCTCTCTATTTCTTGTCTTATGGTTTTACTGGTTTTTCAATATTGTTCTTATAAATAAATTGACTTGACATGACTTTGTTATAAAACGTCTTATATTTTAAAAATGGTGTTACAGTGATTTGGTTTACTTTGAAGGACCCTGAATTTTTCAGTAGTGCCAAACATTTTATACATGCTGTTGTGCAACACATGCTGAAAAACTCCAGCCTGATTCTTCTGCTTTGTCAAACTTTAGCCCTGTGTCAAAGCAACCTTTTTTGTTTAGCTCCTGGAAAAAATGCCTAAACCAAAATCTAAATCCTTCTTAGATGAACATGCAATCCTGAAAGTTTTACAGTCTGCGTATAAAACTCACCACAACACTGTTTACCACAACACTACTAAGGGAATTTAATGATATTCCTTCAGCAACTGATTTCGGGAACTGTGTGCTCTGACACATTGGACCATGAGATCCTCATCTCTGTGTCAGCAATGATAGTTTTATCGCCACCTCTGCCCCCCCCCCCCCCCCCCCCCCCCCCCCCCCCCCCCCCCCCAGTAAGGACCACAAGGCTTAATTCTTGGACCTCTCCTTTTCTCCTTTCACCTGCTGCCACTTGACACTATTTTCTCAAAACATATTTCCTTTCATTGTTTGGCAGACAACAGTCAAGTTTATTTTGCACTAAAGTACTCTGGTATATACTCCGTCCAGCCTCTCCTTGACTGCTTTAGTGACATCGAGAGGTAGATGGCACATAGAAGCCATGTTGTTAGACCCAGTTTCAACAGCAGAACCCCTTGCATCAACCTTCTCTTTCTTTTCTTTTCTTCTCTATTGCTCACCTACAACTTGTCCAAAACTCATTGTATCAGTTTGAACTGCTGGATCTGTATGTCTAGACCTGATGCTTTTGCTTATTCCTAAGAAAACCCAAACTCAGATGTGCAAAAGTCTTGTTGGTCCACAGAGTTTTTTCCCAAAAGTGTTGAGCATCAAAATTATGTTTTCTGGCAAAACAGAGATGAGCCTTCATGTTCTTTTAGCTCAGCAGTGGTTTTTATCCTGGAGCTCTGCCATACAGGCCATCTTTGCCCAGTCTCCTTCTTATAGTGGAGTCATGAACTCTGCCCTTAATAAACGCAAGTGAGGCCTGCAGTTCTTTGGATGTTTTTCTGGGTTTTGTGACCTCTTGGATGAGTCATTGCTGCGCTCTTGGGGTAATATTAATCAGCTTCACATTTATCACTTCTCCATGTTTTCACCATTTGTGGATAATGGCTCACTGTGATTCACTGGATTCCCACAGCTTTAGAAATGTCTTTATACCAAACTTTATTTTCCAGATTCAAAGATCTCAATTACTTTGTTTCTTATCATTTCCTGAATTTTTTTGGATGGCGGCATGATCTGTGGCTCTTTTGGTCTACTTCACTTTGTCAGGCAGGTCCTATTTAAGTGATTTTTTCATTGAAAACAGGTGTGGCAGTAATCAGGCCTGGGTGTGGCTACATAATGACACACAATAACTTTTATAGAGCAGTCAAAAGGAAAAAAAAGATTAAAATGAATAAATGCATTTAATTAAATAATGATCTTAGGTACAAAGCACACAGCAAAAACATCATGCTAGTTTTTTTTTTAAAGAATTGATTATTTAATTTTCTTTGTAGATAGATCATTGAGTTCTTATAACAAAGGAAACAAGTTCTTTTATCCAGTAAAACTAGAGTCTGCTGCTATGTAAGCAGCTCTGTGAAGCTGAGTATTTAAAGCTGCAAAATATGCTCACATGTATGATTCCCAAACACTTATGTTAACACAAAGCATAGACATAAAACATTCATAATATTTACTTCTAAAGTTAGCTAACAAAGAAACAGAAGAATATGTGACATTTACTTATAGCAGGCTTAAAATAATTGCTATCTGTAACTAATAAATTCAGCTGTGAAGAATCAGCCACCTGCTTTTGCTGCATCACAGCCAAACTGTACTTACTGTGGTGTAACTGAGACGTTTCTCACAATATGTGATTATGATTTTGGTGCTGGTGAAGAAAGAAAATACATTTAAATGGATGCTTTTGGCCATGTGGTTCAACTGATAAATGACTCATTAAATTAAAGCAGAAACATTTAAACACATTGAGGAAGTTTGTCAACAGGAAGCTGAAGGCACAGTCTGTGCAAAGTGACTGCAAGCACACAAGTTTATGCAAGAAGATTGCTTAATCATTTGGTCTGCCATTATTTCTATTAGTGGCTCTTACAATACCTGCATCAGAACCCAACAGAACACTGGACTGTAACAAGATGATGAGTGTTATTCACTTATTAAACATAACTGTGTATATCTATAACTCTGACTTAAATACTACGGCTGTGGATGTTGAGACCCACTTGAACTCCGAAAAGTACCAAAAGTAATGAACTAAGCTCAGAAAATATTTCTATGTGACAGATTTATGTCTTTTTAAAAAAATGAATCATATTTATTAAGGCAAGTGTTTACTTTAACTCTTGTTTGTTTCATATTGATCTTGTTTATTTACCAGAAGAGCAGGATAGTAGCTCCTTCCCATTGTGGTCACTTCTTGGAGGAATCCTCGGGATGATGTCACTCTTCTTGATCATCTTTGTTTGGTAAATATTACATCACAGTAGAAAACATGATCAGTTGCTGTCACTGACACGTTACCTGCATGTTAAATTATCTGTTTACTTACACATATATTTAACCTCAAACACAGGATAGTTAAGTCATGTTTAATGGCCTCTTATGTCTTACAAGTGCTTAAAATTAAAGCATCAAACTCAACAATAGACTCTAAGGAAATACTAAACGTCCCTGTAATTTACTGAACTGTTGAGAAGGTTATTTACTGTAGTACTTCCACCAGCTGCTTAATAGATTTAAATGAAACTTTCTATTTGTTTCATTTTATAGATTCAAATAAGTGAAGAGCTGGTTGTTGAAGAGCCAGCAAGTAAATCAGAAGGAGAAGAAGAAAAACATCCATTATGGAGATATAAACGTGTTTTTGCTAGGCTATGAAGCATCCTCTGACTCAGTGCAGGACAGAGGACAACAGCAGGATTTGGTGTTTGCAGAGGTGAAAGTCAACAAGCCAGAAAACAGTTCAACACAGAGCAACTCTGAGGCGAAGAAAATATGAATGTCTAAAAGGAGATCACATTACAGAAACGTGTTAACAAAGAAAAACACACATGCTAACACAGCCCAGCAGCCAGACCCAGAACTTCATCAGGTAACAAAGTGATGAGCAGCCTTTGTTTCTACATGTTCACGTTTCTAAAGTAGCATCCCTGTGGAGATCACTTTGAAGTCTCTTTGGGCTGATGTTCATTTTTGCTGTTGTCGACTTTGTGTTCATACATACAAACTAAAAGAAAGATTGTATGTGTGTCTTCATTAGGGCGACACACATTGTGTGGGTGTGTGGGCCTGTAATCTTTAAGTTTTTATTGTTAACTGCTAATTATGTGACAGTGTCAGTTTTTAGAGTGACAGCGATGTAATGTAATAAGTAGTGTAACAATTAACTTTCTCCAGTGAGTAATTAAGTAACATAAA